GAAGCATCACACACTGGGGTCTGTTAGTGGGGGCCTCAGGGAGGGACAGTGGGGAGTGAGGAGGATAGGGACGGGTAATGTGAGAAGAAATGCCAGATATAGGTGACAGGGGGATGGAGGCAACAAACCACCTTGCCATGTATGTATCTAGGCAACAATCCTGCATGATCTGCACATGTACCCCAGAACCTAAACTACAATAAAAATAATGTGAAATAAAGATAAAATTTCTTATAGAGATAGATGTTCTTAAATATGCATACATTTTTATACTTTTCTCTGAAGAATTGTTTACAAGACATACGATACTGACTTAAAAATAAAACTATATTTAATTGATGAGACTTTATTTGTGGCTTTTTTTCCCAGAGCATATCTTGAAATAAAACCAATACCAAATGTGTTGTTTTCATTTTTTCCCTCTCAGTTGGAATCTACTAAAAAAGAAGAAACTGACATATTATTATAAGTTGTAGTAAATACAGTCTATGAGTAGTACACTGCCCATATTTCTTTGTCATAATGCCTCAGTGTGTTCCAGCCTGACTTCCACCACCAGCACCTACATTTCTTTGACTGGCTGGCTTTCTTTGACAAATTAAGTCCACCAGTGCTGGAGAAGTACTTCCTTTGCCAAGAGAATAGTACCCAGCAAATGGCTGATGGGATCTGGCATATAAATACCTCAGCTCCCCCACCACTTTAGTAGGAAGGTTGACATATGTGTTCTACACAGGCTCCCAGAGATCCCACAGCAGCATTAAGCTTGAGTGGCTCATAACACTGACTGTATAAATACATCTTTTTTGGCTGCTTTCTTCCTAGACTGTTTGCCACTCCCCTCCCATGTTTCCTTAACTTCCAGTATGAACTTCTTTCACTTCAATCACTGTCTTTGGATCTGTTCTGAAAGAAACTCAAAATAAGGCAAGTGTATTTTCAACTTTTACAAGTGCTTACGCAGACCAGGCCTCTCAGACCAGTGGCTGTCTCTGTCTTTCTCTTTCTCTTCCTCCCACCTATGGCACCCTTCTTGGTGCCTCCAGCTTCTCTGCCTATCTTACCCCTGACCTTTCTTGCCCCTGCACTGAGCCTAATGCTGGCTTGACCCTGGTAGCTGCATGTCATAGGACCTGACTCTGTCTGACACCGCCTTCCCTCTTTGCTTTATGGGATTGCTATCTACCAAGTCTGTGCTGATACGGGTACAGACACAGCCATTCTCAGCCCTGTAAAAAATATATACATTTATTATCAGATTTTATCTACCAAAAAAATACAAAGTAAGAACAGCAGAATTCAACTCATTTTACAGAACAACAACAGAGAGAAAAAGTAACTTCCCCAAAATGACAGGCCTGGTAAGAGGTAGAGTTTGGAGAAGAGCTCTGCCCTGTTTTCTTTTTGTTTCTATTTGCCTGCACACTTCAGGACAGAGGCATAAAAACGTCTCTATGGGCCACAGTCTTCACTTTCTCTTATCAATGTCAATTTTTAAGCATATAAAATGCCATAGATTAAATCATATTTGCTAAGACATAGTAAAGAAAATCCACTTACAGATGGGCACAGTGGCTCAGGACTATAATCCCAGAACTTTGGGAGGGCAAGGCAGGAGAACTGCTTGAGTCCAGGAGTTCAAGACCACCCTAGGCAACACAGCAAGACCCTGTCTCTTGGGGAAAAAAAAGACCCGGCACAGTGTCATGCACCTGGAATCTCAGGTACTTGGGACACTGAGGCAGGAGGATCACTTGAGCCAGGAGTTCAAGGCTGTGGTGAGCTATGATAGCACCTCTGCCAAGGTGACCAAGTGAGACTCTAACTCTATAAAACAAAATTAAAATTTTAAAAACTTTAAAAATAAGCACGCATTTACAGACCAATCATATTTGCTGATGACGTTCAATATATACAACCATCCTAAACATTAAATAGAGGTCCGCATGACCCTAAGCTCTGGCTATCTCAGTTTTCCAAACTTTTTTTTTTTTTTTAAGAAAAAAGAAAATCACTCGTTGTGATTATATGCTAGATGGGTTAGTTTTCTTGGGTGCAAAGATTCTAGGAAGACAAAATTATATTTAAGGTTACCTAGGCTTCTCACTTTCAATACTCTGATATTTGGGGCCAGACTATTTATTGGGTGTAGGAGGCTGTCCTTTGTATTTTAGGTGTTTAGCAGCATTCCTGGCCTCTATCACTAACTGCCAGAAGTGGATAGTTGCCCTGAAAATTGAGACAATCTAAAACGTATCCAGACACTACCAAACGTCACTACCAAAAACCCAGCTTGGGAAAGCATTTATGGAGATCTCAAAAGCAATCTAAACAAAATAAAATATTGACAAATGGGACCTAATTAAACTAAAAAGCTTTGGCAGAGAAAAAAAAAACAAAAAAAGCTATCAACAGAGTAAACAGACGCCCTACAGAATGGGAGAAAACATTCGCAAACTATGTACCTGACAAAGGTCTATTATCCAGAATCTATAAGCAACTTAAACAAATCAACAATCAGAAAATAACCCCATTAAAAAGTAGGCAAGTACATGAACAGACACTTCTCAAAAGAAGACAGACAGTGGGTAACAAATATATGGAAAGAAGCTCCACACATCACTAATCATCAGAGAAATGCAAATTAAATCCACAATGGGATACCATCTCACACCAGTCAGAATGGCTATTTTTTTAAAGTCAAAACATAATAGATGCTGGCAAGGCTGTGAAGAAAAGGGAACACGTACACTACTGGTGGGAATGTAAATCAGTACAGCTATTATGGAAAACGGTATGGAGATGTCTCAAAGAACTAAAATAGAACCACCATTTGACCTAGCAATCCCATCGCTGGGCATATACCCAAAGGAAAATAAATTGTTCTACCAAAATGACACATGCATTTGTATGTTCATTGCAGCACTATTCTCAATAGCAAAGACATGGAATCAAACGAGGTGTCTATCACAGTGTGGATAAAGAAAATGTGGTACATACACAACAACAAGAAATACTACATAGCCATAAAAAGAATGAACTCATGTCTTCTGTAGCAATATGGATGCAGGTGGAGGCCACTATCCAAAGCAAATTAACAGAAACAGAAAATCAAGTAATGCACGTTCTTACTTAAAAGTAGGAGCTAAACACTGGATACACATGGACATAAAGATGTGAACAATAGACACTGCAGGCTATTAGAGGGAGAAGGAGGAAAAGGCTGAAAAACTACCAATTTGGTTCTATACTCAGTACTTGGGTGATGAGATCATTCACACTCCAAACCTTTATCATGCAACGTACCAAAGTAACAAACCTGCACAGGTATCCGCTAACCTAATATAAAAGCTCTACCAAACAAACAAAAAAAAGTCTGATACCCTCCCAAAAAGCATTACAATATGTTAAAACATTCTGTAAGAAAGTTGAACAATTTTTTATATACTTTAACAAACCATAAAAAATAATGAAAAACAATGCCTTAATATGTTTTATACCTAAGGAATACTCTAAGAAGAATATTAAAAGGTAGTATCAAAAAATTTATGAGATTTCCTAAATTTACAATGTTAACTATCATTAACGCAACAGTGATCAAATATCTGCATCAGGCCCTTCTTTATGTAACAGAAGTGTATCAGTGACAAAAATGGATAAAATCCATTCTTTCAGATGCTTATGTATTACTGGGTCATGGCAAAAAACAGATTGAAAAAATAACATAAGTAAATTATGTAGCATATAGTAAGGGGACAAGTACTATGGAGAAAAAATAAAACAGGAGAGGGAGAAACAGTATGGGCACTGGGGAGGAGGAAGAGAAAAAAGGGCTAATTTTAAATAGCGTGGTGAGGAAAGGTCTTGTTGAGAGGCCACTGTTTGTGTGAAAATTAAAGGTAAGGGAATAATTTATTGCTCTAAAATTATTTCAAATTATTTTTCTTTGTATAACTGAATTTTGAATATTGAAAACTTTCTGAAACTACCGTTCTTTCTAAATAATGCCATATTTCAAAAACATATACATGTTGTAAAAACTATGTCTAACTTATTATGGCAACCAATTATTCAAAGAGGCTAGCTCTGACTTCATATCCTTGTCCTCCATCTACAGGAGAAATCTGAAAATGTTCCCAAAAATATGAGACCAACTTGATTATTATACAGTAATAATAGTAATTATTTTATTATTAGCAGGTGGAAAAAACAGGAGAGAACAGATGAAACAAATATTCTCTCAAAATATGTACCTTTAAAAAAATATATAAGAACTGAAAAATTCTAGTGATGGGTACAAGAAGGCATGCCATTTATACTATTCTCTCAAAATATGTATCTTTAAAAAAAACAGAAAGAATTAGAGAAAAAAATTAAAAACTGCTAATTTTTACCACCCTAATATTGTCTCAAAGAGAGTATGTTTCTATGCTGATTTATCACAGTATTTCCTACTCACCAAATGTAAAAAGGAGGCAACAAACTCAGTTATATGAATTCAGTGGCAGTTACTAACATGAACTCTGCTACTAATGTATCAATTTCACTTTTAATTCTGTGGCAAAGAGTTCCTAACACTCTAATACAATGACTGCCAGAGCTGTTAACAATGTCTTAATCCCTTCTGAAGGAAATTAAATTTACCATGGATGGGAAGGACACTGGATATCAACTGTTCCAATTTCCTCTAGTGGGGATACATAGTATTGCCATAGCAATAGGTAAACATGAAAAAACAGTGTATGCATGTAACTTGAAATGGTAGATACTAATTTTTTTCATCAACACTAAAGTAGCGCTCATCCTAAAAAAAATTAATATTGTGTGTGTGTGTGTGTGTGCGCGCGCGCACGTGGACGCATATATGTGTACAGAGGTAGTGATAAAGAATATATATTTTGATTGACAATCTTTTCCTACTAAACACTAAACATAATTTCTCATTCCTATATTAAGCTGTATTAAACTTCCGAATATTGATGCTTACAAAGTACACTTACCACTTGTCCATTGTGTGGGTTCTTATGAGCATATGGAGGTCCACGGATATGGTTCCACATCTGGCCAGAAGTCATAGCAAAGACTATACACTGAAAAACAGGGTACAATGTTTCGATACATAAACCAGAGAATACCAGAATAATGCATTTCTAAAACACAGTGGTCATGATGAAACTAACTCGTAAAAATCATTTATCACCTTACCCATTTAAAAAAATTTCACTTACTAACTACAGGACCTTGAGTAAGTTACTTATTCTCCCTGCATCAGATTCCATATCTACAAAATTGGGAGGCCAGCTCTGTTAAAGAAGTGTGTTAATGATTACATTGGATAACATATGTGAGGCATCTGGCATGCTGACAATCTGATATTACGTGCTCATCTGAGCCAGTCAAAAGCACAGATGAGACACTTGATGTTTTAGAGATATTTTAAAGGACATGATAATCATCTTCTATATCCTCTAAACATCATTCTTCTATTAGTCTGGATAACCAAAAGCCTACACTCTTGGATTACAGTACTTAGATCCCCATAAGTACCTAAACACTTTCCACAAAATGTATGACACAGTAACTTCAGAAGATGTTTAGAGATGGAAGAAATCACAAAAAGACACAGCCAGGAATAACTCAGAGATTATATACCTGCTAGATATATCAGAAAAAGCTGTATTTGGAAAATGAATACTGAAGATCCAAGGCATTGCAGGAGGGTGGGAGAGAATATATAAACCAGAAGTCACACTTCAATCAGTGTAACTTAGGTGTCAGTATGTTTTTGTTTAAATCACAGAATATTTTTAAATTAATGAACCGGGACTCCTTTAGATTAAATGTGTTCTCTAGGTTGAAACAGTACCTATACTTCCTGCTTTCGTATATCTTGCCCAATCACTCTTTACTTCAGCTTCCTGGCTCTCAGAAGCATTTGTACCCCCCCCCCCCCCCCCCCCAAAAAAAAAACCAAAAACCAAAAAATAAACACCACCACCACCACCATCAACAAAGGCAAGAATGAGCCACACATGACTGGGGGTCTAAATATTCTAGGTTGGCATAATTTTTAAGGGAGGAAAAGGGATACAAAAGGGAAGAAGATGGGGCACATAAGCAACGATACCTAAATCTGGAAAATAAATTTAGATTCTGTTCTCTGCTTGAGAGCCAAAGTGTTTCAACAGATAATGATAAAACAGCTTTGGAGGAGTTAATCTGAATCCTTTTCTGACTTTCTTAAGAATAACTCTGAAATTAACTCAGACTTGTTTAAAGCCAGATTTGACTTACAGACTAAGCCTAGGTTGGACTATTTTCTGAGTAAAGATTTTACAAAATATTTTCAGTTAAACTTGGTAAAGACACTAGAATATTAGGCCTAGGCCGAGAGTGAGCATAGAGAGTGATTCACCATCTAAAAACATAAATTAAAAATTTGAAATTGTTAATTGACACAAGAACAGAAAGCCAAACGCTGCATGTTCTCACTCATAGGTAGGTGTTGAACAATGAGAACTTGAGAACTCAGGGAGAGGAGCATCAGACACTGAGGGCAGTTGGTGGGGGGCAGGGGAGAGAGAGTGGCGGGTGGGGAGGGTGGAGAGAGAGAACATCGGGAGAAATGCCAGATACAGTATGCACCTAAAGTAAAATTTTAAAAAAGGGTGGGGGGAAGCATAGTCAAAGAATTAAGTGGACAAATTCAGTAATCTAAAGTAATCTAGAAGTCTAAGAATAAAATTTGAAATAAGAAAAAAATTTGAAATTGTTATGTGAGAGAAATAAAGTCTATATTTAATTTATAGGAACATCATATCAGTGAATTTAAGAGTATATTAAAGTTGATTATTTATGTTATAGTGTTTTAGGCAGAGTGTATTTTAAAATCCAGAAAAAGGAGTTAGACACAGTAGCATGTCCCTATAGTCTCAGCTACTCAGAAGACTGAGATGGGAGGATCCTAGGATTTCAGAACCAGCCTGGGCAACATAATAAGACCTGGAGCCCTTTAAAAAAAAAAAAAAAAAAAAAAAAAAAACTGCAGGCCAGGGACAGTGGCTCATGCCTGTAATCTCAGTACTCTGAGAGGCTGAGGCAGGTGGATAGCTTGAGCTCAAGAGTTTGAGACCAGCCTGGGCAACATGGCAAAACCCCTTATCTACAAAAATTACAAAAATTAGCCAGGCATGGTGGTGTGCATCTATAGTCTCAGCTACTGAGGAGGCTGAGGTGAGAGGATCGTTTGAGGTGGGAGGTCAAGGCTGCAGTGAGCCATGATCATGCCACTGGATTCCAGCTTGGGCATCAGAGCAAGACCCTGTCTTAAAAAATAATCCAGGAAAAGATACATCTTATGACCAAAAACATTTATAGTATAAACAAATTACCTTTTGTTTTTAATAAACGAGTGGTTATATACAGTTTTATCTTGTTACGCCCTAACCCTTGTCACTAAACCAGCAACGGAAACTATGGTATGTATCTCTGGTTTTGCCTTTACCTATGTTCATTCCTTCTTTGCCTCTTTTTACTGATTCCACGATATTCCAATATTGAATTACGAAAGCACATGGTCAAGTAGGTATCTCAGAAAGATGGCACTAATCACAGAAAGGAGAATAGACTGGAGAAATCAGTTTGGAGGCTGATGCCTAAATACTCATGAGAGACTACTATAGTCTATTTCATGGTACAGTTAAGAATTGAGAGAAGCAGACATATAAGGCAAATATTTAATAGGTGGAGTCCTTAAGTTTTGGTGATTGAGTAATGTGACAGAAAAAAAAGAGAATCAAAACTAACTCCACCTTTGTGATTTATGACTGGAGCAGCAGAGTATTATGGCCCAATGAGATACAGAATGACAGAGGCAAATAAGTGTGAAAGGGAAGCAGCTAACACAGATTTGGAGTTCATTTTCAAAAGGACTGACTCTAATGTGCTTACAAAACATTCACTTCGAAAAACTGTTGGATAGTGAGACTTCTACGAGACACTTACACATACTGTTTAATAACTGATATCTAAGAAAAAGCTATCAATTTGGGAATTGTGAGCACATAGTTGTTACTATAGTCATAGGAATGGATGAAATTGTTCTAGAACAGCAGGTAGGGTGAGAGAAGAAAAGAAAGCATAGGAAAGAATCCCATCAGCTGGTTCATGAACAGCTGCCCAGGACTCTGAGACACAGAAGTCAGGGACTTAGAAAGAAAATGAAGAAAGCAGGTATACTGGCTAAGCATGGTGGTTCACACCTGTAATTCCAGCACTATGGGAGGCTGAGGCAAGAGGATCACTTGAACCCAGGAGTTTGAGACCAGTCAGGCTAACATGGCAAAATGCCGCCTCCATAAAAAAATACAAAAAATAGTCGGGCATGGTGGCATGCACCTGTAGTCCGAGGATAAGGTAGGAGAACTACATGAGCCCAGGAGGTGAAGGCTGCAGTCAGCTAAAATCATGCCACTGCACTCCAGCGTGTACATCTTGTGAGGGTGGGCGGGGCGGGAGGACAGGAAGACAGAAAGAGAAGGAGACAGAGAGAGGTGAGGGGTGGGGAGAGGGTGGGGGAAGAGAGGAGAGTGACAGAAGAGAGGCAGAGAGCGGGGAGAGAGGAGTGGGGGGGGGAGTGGTAGATAGCAGGGAGAGAGAAAGAGGGAAAGAGACAGAAGAGAGAGAGACAATCTAAAAAGTCTCACTTGTTTTGGCTATGAAAATATTTAACCAACTAAGATATTCACAAACAGTAGTATTTACCCAAGAACGTTCCATGTTCTTAAGACAGATCACTAGTATGTTTAAAGTGCCTGGCCTAGAACTTGATCGTAACAGTTGAGAATGGAGGTTTGTAAATTTTAATACTCAAGTTGCAGGTGTATCTTCAGCACCTGTGCAACCTTGAGCAAGTTCATTGCTTTGGGTCTGTTTCCTATCTGTAACACTAGGATAATACTGATATCCATCTTTCTAAACTGCAGGGGTTTTAACTAGGTTAATTTATGTAGCACACTTAAATACTGCACACAATACACAACACAAGCTCAGTGAATATTATTATTCCGAAGCCCGCCACAATTTGCTCCCATACTCCTAAATGGCACCATGTCCCACCACTCCTTAACTGGCACTGCACCCTCCATTCAGATCACTCTTCTTGCTTCCCCCTACATCCATGATGGTAATGCCTGCATCTACGTCTCATTAATGCTGCATCAACCCAGTGAACCTTCTTCTAAACTAGGATTAACTCATGGCCCGTAAATGGTTCTCTAGGGAACCCCTCCAGTTTATTCACTTGACAATTAACTTACTTGAGCACTGCTGTACACCGGGTATGTTACCGGACACTAGAGATTTAAGAATGAATAAGATAAAGATGCTTCCCATCCTCAGCTGGAAATCCTGAATAAGTGACAGGTGCCCTGACATAAAAAATATTTCTCATTTATTCATTCAAGATTTATTCACCAAGAGCATGCTATGTATTTAAAAACTGATTTAGAAGCTGGGGATAAAGCAATGAACAAAAATATGAGGTAGAAATCTATCATTAAGGAGCTTACATTCTACAGGGAGGAAAAGAGATAAGAGCAGTAGCAATACTACTTATGGTATGTCACAAGTTTAAAAAACTCATCCTAATACATGATTTACTCAAGATTCCATGAAATGTTTTAATAAAACAAAAGCAGGTTCAAACCTAGAATAATATGCAGAATCATATGTAGTGACAGATGTATTTACTCATATAGCTCTGGCACTTTTCATAAGAAACAACAAAACACTGAGTAACATGTACTTCTAAAATGCAAAATGGCCTAGGTTTCAAGTTTATAAAAATTCTCATAACTAATGTATCCTTTTTTGGTTGTAACAACAGAAATGTCACCATTTCATTACTTTCAGCAATCTGGAAGTTTTAATTTTGCAATTAATTTGACTTTAATTTTTATTTAATTATATTCAAAGAAAAAGGGCATAATTCATAGTTATAGCTAGATTAATTTTCACAAAATAAACACATCCTTGCAACTACCATTGGAAATCAAGTAAATGAACACTATCAGAAAGACAGGAGCTCTCT